AGCAGGAATTACAAGCACAGAAGACATTTCAACAGGAGGCAGGTAAATTGAAAAGGTAGTTCAAGGGAAAACAGAAAATGCTTCAAAAGAAGTTAGCGCAACAGAACGACTTCATGCAATTTTCACATGGCTTCTACCACACTCTTCTCTTTAAATATGTCAAATTAGAAGAAGTGATAAAGTTACTTGCTAAAGCATTTTTCATCATTTTTCAGGAGTCCCTCCAAATACTGTATTCAAAGAACTATAGCCTAAAGATTAAAGAGTTTATCTATACATATAAACTACATCTATATGCACACACATATGTAAGTACATATATACACAGGCACAATACACGCACGAGCACATACTATTAAGGAGAAGTCACCTTTAATGGAACTGATAGGGGTTATTGAGGGGTTTTGGGTACTGAGCAACCAAGTCATTTAATGGCTAATCAGTGATCCAGAAGAAGTAGTAATCTGAGAAATATGTATAGCCATTTAGAGCAGTTAAGGCCAAAGAAAACAAAACCACTTCAAAATAACCTAATATATTCAGGGATACAGAAAGCAAGTGAGAAGACAAAATGCTCGCTTCTAAAAAGGTCGAGCAGGTCAGAAAAACAGCCTGAGAACTATAAATGTTATGGTTCTAAATGAAGTACAATCATTCACAAGAAAAATCTAGTATTGCAATGGATATAGCTAAAATAAAACAATTTTTAAATAACACTGTCATTTGATTAGCAAGGAGACAAATAACAGAACATTGCTGGCATACTTCTACACTAATGGCTGGTACACCCACCCTCACTTGGGATGTGTGTGTAGTTCTGACCACCCCACCACAACAACCTGGTCTACCAGCAGGGGAAGAAGTAAAGCCTAGTTAATGGATTTCGGTCTGCTGCCTCCATTCTTCCGCTCCTTTCGCCCTTCACTTGAATCACTGCAACTTTTTGTCCCTACTAAGCCATAGTATGTGCTGTCACTATCCTGAAGACACACAGAGATCCACAGCAGCTCATTAGTCAAAGAGCATATTATTGCTCAAAACCCACTTTGCCATTACCAAGGAAATTAATCTTGTGTCTTCTACACGCTTTCTTGAAAGTTACCTTTCTCCAAATTATCTGTAATTTAATAACAGTTACAAACGATGGAGGTAACATGAGGATGGGAGAAGAACATGCACGTGAGACTTCTTGCCTTCAAAGACCAAGATAACAAGTCATTCAATTGTTATAGCAACTGCAATTAGGAAACAGAAAAATTCCATCCTAAGAGCTCCATACAAAAGAGCCCCGTTATGCCCTTTAGTTCATTCAAAAGGTCTTTATTTTGTAGGACTTATATTCAGGAACCAAGCACTTCTATTTATCCTGTCTTCTACTACATAGACCTTTCGGAAATTCTGAAAGGCATCAACGTTATCCTAATGCAGCAACTTAAAGAAAAATTGTAAGGCTCCTTACAGAACACCCCATCACAAAAATCACAAGAAGTGCATTAAGCAGCTTGAGTGTTTACAGCTAGAATAATAAACACAAGTTGTTCCATGAACAGAAACCAGCTTTTGTTAGTTCTCACTCAAGTGCCCTGTCTTCTCGTCTCTCCTTAAGGCAGTTACTTCAGCTCCTCCAAGGGGACTCCACTGGGGTAAAAACCAAAACAAAACAATAAAAACCCACAACTGCAGCAGAACTCGCCCCAGCAAGCTGGAAATTTTGCCTATGCCAGCAGGGTAAACAGTGGTGGTTATATCGTTTTGTCCTGTAGCCTTGTCTTCACAGGGCACCGCTCCTCCTCCGTGGAGTCACCAGTTTGCTGGAAACCAGTAGGAACCCGACTACCTTCGAGCCTCCCCCTTCCCGTTTAATTTTGGCTTATACTGGCTGGTAAATTTAGAAGGTATTTTTGGAGATATGGGAAGAAGAGGCCTGACACTCTGCATAGGTTTCATTGCCATAGAAACCAAGCTAAAAACACTCAGAAGGGAACAGAAAACGTCTGTTTCAAGGCATTACTTATGCTATGTACTTAAATGTTACCTGAAACAGCATTCAACATTAAAAGTACAGAAACTGTATCTAAGATTTTTTTTCCAATAGTAAGATTTTTTTGCCCACTTTTTAAATTAAAGGACTAAGGAGAACTCACAGTTCATCATCCCAGCCCCCTCCCAAGCCCGCAATGAACCATTATATGGCAGTAAGCAATACAGCTGCTTTTGCCAAGAATATGGTCAAAACAATTACCAGAACCTGTTTAAACTACAGGCAACTGTAAATTAGTACCTACCCCTGCCCCCAACACCTCACATTTTAAAAGCAGGACACAAAGACCTTTTTTTCCCTTCACATCTTACTCTGTACACAGGGTATTCTGGCTGACTATATGGAGCTTGACAATTAAAAAAAGGGAATACTTTGTTATTAGACATATTACTCTTAAACTGTTTATACAAGTATTTCAATCCCTGCTACCTTTATTTTATAATTTCTTTTTTTTTAATAAATAATATCTTTAAAGAAGTACTGCATCTCCTCCTGTAATTTATTTCCTTAAGTCTGTTATTTTGTTTGTGTAATTATTTCCAAAGTATTCAGATGCAATGCCTGCAATCAGCTGACACCCTACAAAGAACATGAATCACAAGAAAGCACTTAGTACGGAAGCCTTTACTGAGGGGACTGATGCAGATGCTTTTCCTCTTTAGGTTTTTCAAAATAAAAACTTAAATGGGAGGAAGATCTAGTTCTCTAGTTAACACTTTTCATTTACCTGCAGATCATAGATTTGTCTGACCTACAAAAGTTTGCTTGCCTGGATAAACAGAGTTTGCTTCATTTGTGATGAACTGACTGATTGTACACGAGTGGCAATATAGGCACGTCATTAAAATATGCCTAATTTTTTAAAAATCAGGGGAAAAGGATATAATAACATGTCTTATGTCACCTGTACCATACATATACAAGATTAAAATGATGTTTTCTGATAAAGTGCATCCAAGTAGCACACGCTAGCTCTAGTCATACTGACAGTGTAACACAGGAACAGCACTCACTATTTCTGTTACCTGATTTTAGGCACATGTCAAAAGCTGCTGTTTTCCCATTTCATAAAATATGATTTACAGA